TATTACGTACTGTTTAATAGGATAAAAATTGGTTTGCATCCAACGCCCATAAAAGGGTGTATTCTCTAAAAAACACAGTTTTTGTGTCTAAAATGTTATCATCGAAAATGGCATTTTTGAGATTGTTTCTTCCATAAAACAGCCAAATGGCGCGATGGAAACATGAATTTTTTGTCACAATCATGCCATGAATGTATTCTTTACGGTGACCATCATTTGATTAGATTTTCATTAATATTTTACATAACATGCACATTTTATCAACACTTAGACAGCTTCTGAAAGGTACAACTTTGAGGAGCCATAAGAAACAAACCAAGTGACCTAAATCTTTATACTTTAAAGATTTGTGACCACAACGGCATGGGCAATGCACCACCAACAGGAAATTTGAATCAGAGAAGGGGCCGTTTTGGAAACCGGCCCTTTGCAGATTCGAGAAAAGCTTAGTAAGCTTAGCTGTGCTCTCCAAACATATGATACTGTTTCTAATTGTAATTGTGTTGCGAGTGTGTGTATTATTGTGTAATATTATTTGGTGTTTTGCACTGTAAATATTGCACTTCTGTTACGTTGTAACTGATGATTCGAAAGGCTCAGAGTAATAAAGAACTTAAGAACTCGGTCACGTCACTGTAAAGACAATCGCCCCACAAAAACCTTCTTCTGGGTAAACTGATAAATAACATCAGTGATCGGATAAGGGAACTATGTCACATGATACAATTACATATTCTAATCTTATTGTCTCCATGATGCTGTTTCATACAACGTCTAGTGTAAAAGGGGTAAATAAATGACCGAAACTGACCCTGAGCTATTAATTTCCCGATTAAAACATAATGGATTGATGCTGTGGAATATTGAGGTCTGTTTTAATTCTTTTGTTGACGGCTCATACCAGGAAACGTCTTGTTTATCAAAAAAATAGTATGTTTGTTAAGCTAAAAAGTGTTTATTTGTATGCGAATTATATGTATAATGAGACTTAAATTGATATACATTTGTCTTTTACATTTGTTACATGTTCCGGTGCGTGTTTTGATTTGTAATTACATGTACCTTACCGCTTCTCCTTCCATCCTCGTGGGGCCCATGTTTAATTTCAACAATATACAGAAGTAAAAAAGGTTGAAAAAGAAGTGAGCTATGGAAATTGGTGACAAATAAAAGTTCTGTTAAGGAAAGGTGGACGTCATATCTTAACTTGGCTGCATAGAACGCAAACAATACATATTGTCAACGCCATCCATGGATTTAATTTCCCAATGAGTACGGTACCATGCAGTAAGGCCCAACTGTTTGGTAAAAGTAGTCATCGCAATTAAACATAACAAACTACGAAAAGTCAATTTAAACTTTACTTATTTGGTACTCGTGACAGCCGCTGGTTTATAACAATAAAATAACCATTAATTTTACGACTATTTTAATCATTTGGAATACCTAAATCAATGGATGCTGTAGTGCTACCATACCATTCCTAAACGTAAGGGTTGGTTTCATATCATATTACTGTGATATATTTTGAATGCAGATAATTCCAGAAGCTTTTTATTTCAAAAGGCCAATGTCTGTTTAAAACTGTACCCCGGCCGCCTTCGGCTGTAGAATAGGAGAGAAACGAACAATAGAACTGTAACGCAAAAGTGTAACGCGGTACACAAATGAAGTATAAATGCTTCAAATGTGCCTGGCCGCCTTCGGCCATCGTGGATAATACTGTATGATAATATATAGATACCATCGCAGAAACACGCTCCGACTGTTTTTTCCTTCGAACAGCATTCATTTTTTCGGATGTAAAACATTTAAGGAATGTCCTTCATTTTGACGGCGTATACGGTAATACTGGTATATATATGGAGCGCGTTTAAGAATGTGTTCGTTGCCAGCAACATTCATAAAACTGTATACGCCATCAAAATGATGGTCAATCCTTAAATATGACCTCTTACATTAGTGTACCGACACTAACGAGGGGGTACATATACACTGTGGTTTAAACAATGTGGTTTTCTCCTTTGTATGAAATATGGAAATAGTTTACGCTGAGAAAATTGGACCTTAATACTTGAGGGGGTATTATGTGTCTGCTGACTAATTTCTGTGTTTAGAACACGACCATACTAATAAGTTCAGTTTCTTGGTATGTAACCAACAGCTAAGCGGAACTGTTAACAAAGAGTTATTCTCCTTACTTTGGGCTTCCTTGGGCTTGTCCTAAAATGATTATATAACATCTCTTCCATATGTATGTAGCCACCATAACTAATCTTATGTAATTTGGCCCGCGGTGACCAATTAATTTGACAAATACATGATTTTACTTTTTAAATAGAACATAAATAATCGTAATAAAATATCACACCATTCATATGTAACTGTTGTCATACACTCATTGACCCCTTCATTACCATTGTTTCAAAATAGACAACAGGAGTGACCGTTGATATTTTATTAGTATATAAACACATATCAAACATCAGAAGGCGCTACCAACCGAGTTATTTTATCAAACAACCGTTTCGTTATATATTCTATGGTGTGCGTTGGCGGACCTTTAAGAATATGTTCGTTGGCAACTGCGTTTATACTACTGTGTACGCAGTCAAAATGAAGGTTGATCCTTACATTTACATCATAAATAATGTTCAAATGCTTTACAAGAAAAAACAAGTGGAAGCGGGTTGCTATGCTTGTAACTACGGTAGTCGTGGTTGCTAGGATAAGATAATTCCAGTGAATCTACATCGATAAATTGGTAAATTTAGAAAATACGCAGCGAACAACATTGCTTTTCTTCTTTTCATTGCTTTATTTTCTTTTTATTAAGTAATAGTAGAAGCAATTCGAACATTTTTTTATTCTTTACAAATATACGCGCATTGACACACTTCTCTGGTAGTGACGCGGTCGAACGTCGCAAAAGGAAGCCGCAATTGTTTAATTTACCGTCAAGTAATTTTTAATGTGCATCCATGGAATAAGAAGTTTGCCAGCATTTCTTTTATGTATATGAACCAAACAATGGCTGTCATCACACATTTTTCTCGCTGAGCTGAAGGGGAAAAGGCGTCAAATTTGAGACGGGTATTAATGAATCCGCCAAGCCTTTTTTCATTGCGTATACTCTAATTCATATGCAGTCAGAGTTTACTAAGTTGAAGAAGGGAGAGATGTAAAAATCATTCTTTATACACAGCCCAACTCAGGAACTTTACATTCCTTATACACAACACACATCAGGAATTAAATAATCTTTATACAGAACACACTTAAGGAACTCAATATTCCTTATGAACAATTCTGAAACTTGTTCCGTTTATACATTTATATTTACAACTCTCCCTTCTCCAGCTAAGTTAACTCTGACTGCGTATAAATTAGCGTATATGGAGTGCAAAAATGCTTGGCGGTTAATGCTTGTGTTCAATATGGTGCCATTAACTGTTCAACGAGATAACAGTCTCGTGATAACCATTAGTTCCTTTAACATCTAGAAACCCGTAACATATTCGTTCGGTATCCATGCCGTTTAATTATACAACAAAGGGAGTTTGACAAACTTCTTATTCTATGGATGCACATTCAAATTCCCTTGAAGGTAAAGTCAAAAAGGGCGGCTTCGTTCTGGAACATTCAACCGCGTCACTACCAGAGCAATATGTCAGAACGCATACAAAACGACCATTACAAGCGAACACTTCAAAGGAATACTTCGATTTAGTAATATAAAATTTGAAAGGTTTCAAAAGATGAAAAATAGTGCATTTTCTAAATTTACGTATATACCAATGTAAGTTCATTGAAACTATAGTATACTAACAACCACAGTTGCTGTAGTATACCAGCGTAGAAACACGCTCCAACTGTTTTTCCTTCGAATAGCATTCTTTTTTGGGGGGATGTACATATAAGGAATGTCCATCATTTTGACGCTTAACGGTAGTATTAACGCAGCTGGCAACGAAAGCATTTTTATGGAGCGCGTTAAAGAATGTGTTTGTTGCAAGCTACATTCGTACAACGGTATACGCCATCAAAATGAAGGTCAATCCTTAAATATGTCCTTTTAGTGTACTAACACTAACGCGAGGGGTTACATATATACTGCGGTTGAAACAATGTGCTTTTCTCTTTGTATGAAATATGGAAATAGGTGACGCTGAGGATATTGGAACTTAATATTTGAGGAAGTGACTATGTGTCTGCTGGCTTATTCTACGTGTTTAAAAGCGGCCATTATAATAGGTTCAGCACCGACAGCTAAGCGGAGCGGTTAACAAAGAGTTATCCCCATTGCTTTTGACTTGTCCTAAAATGATTGTAATACATCTCTTTCATGTGTATGTAGCCTCCATACCTAATCTGATGTAATTAGTTCCGCGGTGACGAATTTATTGGGCAAATACATTACTTGTTAATTGAAACATAGATACTCATAATAATTATTACATCTGTACAATATACATGTATATACATGTATATAACTGTTGTCATACACTAATTGACCCCTTTACTATCAATGTTACAAAAGAGACAACAAGTAGTATTTATTAGTATATATACATAAATCACACACTAGTTGGGTGTAAAATAAATTTGATTTCGTTTCGTTTCGATTTTGCTCAAGTTTTAGATCCAGATGTGAGGGACATAAAGAAATGTGTATCGAGAAACATATATTCAGTTGTGGGATCGCACAACGTTACACGATGTGCGGTGTGCGCGCGATGTGCCCACGGTGTGTGCGATGTGCAAACGATGACAATCTGGAGGTTTATTGCTTGCGCACATTTGTGCGGACGATTGAAGAACGTTGTGCGATGACAATCTAGGTTGATGTAAATTGAGGAATGGCTTAACAATAGTATACGGTTTCGTGTTTGAACATATTAATTCGACTTTTTAAGTATGAGCTGATCTTTCTATATTTTTCTTAAATTCAGAAATGGTGTTTCGGTATTTTTTAAACGACCCAAATCTACACATGTAAAATTATGAAATAAATTGACACCGTCTCATATACAGTAAACATAGCAACTTTATGCATGTACCTGGACCGTAGTTTCCGTATGTTCAGACATATCAGTGTATCCAAACTCGATACAAGAATTGACAGAAGTGCGTACAAGTCTGTACAAATCTCCTATCAAATTCAATACGCAGTCAGTTAAAATAGACAGTCAAGTAACATTTTTCATAATTTGAATACATGTGTAGCCAGGTGTAACAAACAGGTACATCACCTATATATCCCCGCGCGCGCAGGAAGCACGGGCTTCTGTCCCGTGTCACCTGGCTACTGTCACGTTGTTGGGCCTATGCCCCGGCTACAGGTGACCAGCATAGGCATTCAGACGTCACCCCTGCATGGGAACAGACGTCCATGATTATACATCTAAGCTTCCCGGTGTCCCTGGTAAGCATGGCAACGCAGGGTTTATAGGTTTGTACCAGTTGATAACTATTTAATCATATATTTGTATTTTATGTCATTGCCTTCAAGTTTTAAGTAGGACATTAATACATGTAGTGTAGCCTTATATGAATAGGTGTCATTGTATGGCAGGGGGGTCCCAACAGTAAAGCTGTGTTACCTTGCTCTTGTAGCATTACGTCTTACTTGTAAAAGTAGGAAATGAGTATAATCTGTATTTTGGCTGTTTTACAAGGTAGCTGACCTGTATTTTCCCAAAGGGCTGGGATTTATAACCTGAAAAGCGTTGGTCTTTTATTTTATTTAGGACACATAAGTAACGCTAGAGCTCTGTGTACTCTGAAAAGATTACACTTGTTGGATAAATATAACTTCTTAAAATGTAATAAATACCTGAGCTGGTGAGAGTTTATCAAATATTGTAAAGGAATCATTATAATAATGTTCTTGTCAGCTGGTATCTTTTACAGAATTGGTTCTAGAACAATAGCCTCATTTTTTCTCAGATATCTGTATATGTTGTCATGGAAATACTCGAGAAATGTCATGTGACATTTTATAAAGAGGGGGAGTGTGTAGCCAGGTGTAATAAACAGGTACATCATTTGTTTGTCCCCGCGCGCTCAATTGTGCAATGTATCATTATCATGTAATCTGTTCACATGTATCTATGTATATGTAGTGAGTAAGATAGGTGAGAGGAATGAATAGGTATGATTCCGGAATGAGAGCGCGGAGTGCATAACTGTGTGTAATGTATTTATTACATGTTGTAGACTTCCCTTCTCCTGAAATAAACCCATATTTAAGGGAAGCATTGGAGTTATCTGTTCCCAGTGATGTAGTATATGACCTGATCTATTTATATATTTGTTTAGTATAGACAATATTTAGTTATCTGTTCCCAGTGATGTAGTATATGACCTGATCTATTTATATATTTATTTAGTATAGACAATATTTAGCTATCTGTTCCCATTGATGTATTATATGACCTGATCTATATTTATCTTTGTGTAGTATAGACAATATTTAGCTATCTGTTCCCATTGATGTAGTATATGACCTGTTCTATATTTATCTTTGTTTAGTATAGACAATCTTTAGCTATCTGTTCCCAGTGATGTAGTATATGACCTGATCTATATTTATATAATTGTTTAGTATAGACAACATTTAGTTATCTGTTCCAAGTGATGTAGTATATGACTGCTTTATTTATATAATTGTTTAGTATAGACAATATTTAGTTATCTTCCCAGTGATGTAGTATATATGACCTAATCTATTGGTATCCTTGACGGCTGGAGCTTATTGGAAAGACATGACATGAAGCTTTTACCATCAACTGAAATATTTCAATTATTAATGTAGAAAGTAATGTAAGAACAAGTCGGTTTTTGAAAGTTTAATATGAGGGGTTATTTTCTTCTGCATCGTTATATTATGTATTTGGCTCCTTGCAACAGCGCGGTGTTAATTTCTACTTTAGCGTTTACTGATATACCATGCCGAAGACACTAAAAACAGATTCCACCCGGTCACAATATGAGATAACCCAAATTCTGAACATTTATCTGTGAAAACCAACCAACATTTTAAGCTATCTAAGTCCGTGTTTAAACCAATTAAAATTCCTGACTGATTGACAACTATGCACAAAGCCCAAGATAAGGTACACCTTTTTGAAACTCCAGTAATCAAAGTACAGCTGAGACATCTATTTAACATTAAAAGACAAGTCAGTCAGCAATATATTCATAAAGTATGAAGTTCTGGCAACTATTGAAAAATAACCATTCAAATGCAAACTACATGTATGATAGTATTTACACAGTGAATTGATAATGTAACTCTGTATGTCTATATTTGTCTTGACATTTTAAAAAGACTGATCACCTGTGCCATTTGAAAACCGAACTTGTAGAAATTGTTTTAATTCTTTAAATGCAAATATTAAAAATAAAATGATATACAGTTTTACTATTTGATCAAGCAGAATTTGTAATCGAAAACGTTTTAATAATGAACCCATGTGATGGATTTGTACATCTGATTAATAATTCTAAGCTGCAGTATATTTAAGCTAAATCCATATATTATATGTTTAAAAGAAGAAAACAATTATCAAGAAAATATTGTATGATAAAATAATCGTGTCTTATTTATCGAAATATATTTATTGATCGTAATTTAATGACCATAGTGTCTCGTAAGCCAAAATTAACTGAACCATGTAACCAGATAACCATATGACTGAATTGATCTGAATATAACATATATATGTATATTGCGTGACACTTAGATAAATGGTGTTACTATTATTGATTGATTGTTTAATTGATTGACTTATTGTTCTAGGATTATCATTATTTTATCATTGTCAATACTTTGACTGAGAAGTTCATTACAACAAGTATGTTCATTTAACATCAATAGCTGCTTCCCAAATCTTCCGCCGAACCGGACAACTATGCCTCGTATTCCATGTAAGATGGTGGCTGTTCCATTTTCACGAGATAGATCTGTGACTTCATACACTGTTCATACGATGGCGGCAAAGTGGAAACCTGCATGCATTTTCCTGAAATAGAAATAACACAGTAATGAATTGCGTTAATGCCATATATAATTACGAAATCATGCATGGCGTTTCACCATCCTCGTCCGAAGCGATACCTATCTTAAGGTATTAAGTATTGTGCTTTTTGTGTGTAAATTTTAAGAAATATATATACTTGTAATACTTTTTTTTCTGTACAGTATATATATATGCGTGTATTTTTACACACACGCCGACAAACCCTCACTCACAAAAGCGACACAAATATTTTTCATGAAACAAATTCACCAGAGGTAAAACGACCCGACTATCTATTTTTCTTTTTTTGTTGTTGTTATTTTTAAAATCTTAGGCTAATATATATGCATAAACGAAAAGTTCCTAACTCAATTTGTTTGGGATACATACCCACTCTCAAGATAAATGCAAATCTATTGAGTTTTCACCTCACATGTATCAAGAATTAAATAGTTGCATTTGAAAAATAATAAAACATATTGCCAAAATGATCAATTCATGAGTCATGAAACCAGTTAATTCATGTCAAATAGCCTGAGTTTTTCAATACATTACTGAAACAAAAACAAAAAAATCAGGGGAAGCTCAAATACTCACTTCTGATTTTGCTGAATGAAATATATATATATTACAGCTATCATCCTTCTGATATTTCTAAACATACAAGGGAGCCTGACCTGTTCTATATTTATCTTTGTTTAGTATAGACAATCTTTAGACGGAACTAGGAACCAGACCCTAGTTCCGTTTAAGATAAACGGAACTACGAACCAGACCCTAGTTCCGTTTAAGGTAAACGGAACTATGAACCAGACCATAGTTCCGTTTAACATAAACGGAACTGGGAACCAGACAAGAGTTCCGTTTAAAATTGAAATAACACTATAATTCGAACTTNTAGTTCCGTTTAACATAAACGGAACTGGGAACCAGACACTAGTTCCACTTAAAATTGAAATAACACTATAATTCGAACTTCGACCAAAATACTAGGTCTGTTTCAGAAAAACATCATAACCAGCCTCTTATAAAATCGACTGGGAACTCAAATCCACAACCTTTCACATGAAAATTATGACTACCATAGCCTCTATAAAGTAATTGGTCTTATACGGAACTGAGTGTCAGTCTCCAGTTACGTTTTTCCTTAAACGGAACTGGGATCC